GGCAACCTTAATTATTTTTTTTTATATTTTTTAAGGAAGTGCTTTCAATTTTTCCCTATTCACTATGATGTTGCCTTGGCATTTGTCATATGTAACCTTGATAATGTTGAGGTAAGTGTCTTCCCTTGCTAGTTTCTTCAGTGTTTTTACCATGAATGGTTGCTGAATATTGTCAAAGGTTTTCTCTGCATCTATTTATGTGATGAATTACAGTTTTTAATTTGCATATTGTAAACCATTCTTGCATTTCTTGAATAAATCCAATTTGTTCATGGTGTAGAATCTTCTTAATATGTTGCTGTACATGATTTGCTGGTATTTTATTAAGAACTTTTATGTAAGCCTGGCATGGTGGTGCACACCTGTAATCTCAGCAACTTGGGAGACTGAGTCAGGAGGATCACAATTTTCAGATCTGGTTCAGAAACTTAAGAGACTCTGTCTCAAAATAAAAAATAAAAAGAACTGAGGATGAGGATGAGAGGTTAAATTCTCCTGGTTCAGTTAACCCCACAAAAAAACAAACAAACAAAAAACCCACAATTTTTCACCTAATTTAATCATGGATATTGGTCTCTTCTTTCTTTCCTTGATGTGTCCATATCTGGTTTGGGTATTTGTGTGATATTTGCTTCATAGAAGTATTTAATGGGATAATTTGAGTATCATTGAGAGTAATTCTTCTTTAAAATCTGGTAGAATTTAGTTGAGAATTCACATGGTCCTGAGCTTTTCTTCGTACAAAGACTTTCCATTATTGTTTCCATATCATTACTAGTTATTTGATTCTTTAGGTATTCTATGTTATCTTATTTAATTTTTGCAGGTTATATGTATTTAGAAATGTATTCATTTCTTTTCTTCTAGCATTTCAATTTATTGAAGTAAAAGCTTTTAAAATAATTTTAAATGATCCTCTAGATTTCTAGGATATTTGTGGTGATTTTGCTTTTTACATTCCTAATTTTATTAATTTTGGTCATCTCTGGTTTTCTTTTTATTGGTTTCACTAAAGACTAATCAATCTTGTTCATCTTTCAAAGAACTGACATTACATTTAATTGATCCTTTGTATATTTTTATGTTCAATTTCGTTGATTTTGGATTTGATCTTTTATTATTTCTTTCCTTCCACTAGTTTTGGAATCGGTTTATTATTCTTTTTCAAAGGCCTTTGAGATGCATTGCTAGATTGTTCTCTGGGGGGGTGTTTTATTTTTTTATGTGGGTACTTATTGCTATAAATTATTTTTCTAGAAATGCTTTCACAGTGTCCTCAAAATTCTGGCATGTTCTAACACTATTCTCTTTTGAATCTAATAATTTTTAATTTATCCCCTGATTTTTATAACCAATTTAATAATATAAAGTGTATTATTCATTCCCCATGTGTTTCTATAGTTGATTTCTAGTTTCATTCCATTATGATCAGATAAGATGCAAGGAATTTTAACTTTTCCTCCATGAGACAGGATCAAACAATCCCTTCCGCCTTATCTCTGACTCAGATAAAATCCCCTTTCACCCCTATGATACTATCAAAGATATCCTCTGGGTCCTTCTCCTTATTCTAATCCTAATAATTTGCAGTCTAAAATGTGGTTATTTTGCAGAAGATTCCATGAGTTACTGAGATTAAAGTGTAGTCCACTGTCATTGGATGAAATATCCTATAGACATTTGTTAAGTCCATTTGATTTATAATACTTTTTTAGATCTATAGAGTCTTTCCTGAGTTTATACATGCATGACCTATCTATTGGTGAGAGAAGTTTACTGAAATCACCCATTATCAGCGTCTCTTATGTAATTAGGTGCACCAGTGTTTAGGGCTTAAATATTACTATTGTTACATCTTTGTGTTGGATTTTTCCTTTCAACAGTATAAAGTGACCTTCTTACTCTCTTCTGATTAATTTTGGTTTGAAGTCTGCTTCATCAGATATGACTGTAGCTCTTCCCCCTTCTTCTGGGACTCTATACTCATGGTGTATTTCACAATCAGCCTATGGCTGTCTTTGCCAGTAAGGTGAGTCTTTTGCAAAGAACAATCAGATGTTTTTTGTTTGTTAATCCATTGTGCCAGAGTCCATATTTTATTTACATTCAACATCATTTTAGATAGGTATTTATTAATTCTTGCCAATTTGATTTATTATACTGTTTAATATGGTCCTATTTTTCATTTGCTTAGCTAATCTTCAGTTAGGATTTGTTCATTTGTGAGATCTGGGTTTCTTTTGATTTTTTTCCATGTAAAGTAATTCTTTAAGTTCTTTGTGCTAGCTTGTTAGTCATGAATTATTTTAGTTTTTGCTTCTCTTGGATTTTTTTTAGTTCCTCTTTGATTGTGAAAGATATCTTTGCAGGATATAGCAATCTTGGTTCACGATTGTTTACTCAAAGGACTTGGAAAAAATCATTCCTAGTCCTACTAGATTTTGCACTTTGTGCACAGAAATCAGAAGTAATTCATTTTTATTTTTATGTGTTTTTATTAGTTATACAATACCGTACAATATATTTGGACATATTATACATATAAAGAGTATTACTTACCATTCTTGTGGTTGTACATAATGTGGAATTACATTGATCATGTATTCATATATGCCCACAGGAAGTAATGTCTGATTCATTCTACTCTTTCCTATTCTCATCCCTGCTCCCTTCTGTTCATTCCCCTTTGACCCAAAGTACTTCTAATTTTCCCTTTACCCCCTTATGTGATTTAGCATCCACATATCAGAGAAAACATTCAGCCTTTGCTTCTTTGGGATTGGCTTATTTCACTTACCATAATATTCTCCAGCTCCATCCATTTATCGGTAAATGCCATAATTTCATTCTTCTTTAAGGCTGAGTAATATTCCATTGTCAATATATACCAAAATTTCTTTATCCATTATTCTGTTACAGGGCACCTTGTTTGGTTCCATAGTTCAGCTATTGTGAGTTGAGCTGCTTTAAATATTGATGTGGCTACATCACTGTAGTATGCTGATTTTTTAATATTTATTTTTTAAGTTGTAGTTAGACACACTATCTTTATTTTATTTTTATGTGGTGCTGAGGATCGAACCCAGATACTAGGCGAGTGTTCTACCGCTGAGCCACAATCCCAGCCGGTGATTTTAAGTCTTTTGGGTGTAATCTGAGGAGAGGGATAACTGGGTAAAATGGTGGTTTCATTCCAAGTGTTCTGAGGAAACTCCACACTGCTTTTCAGAGTGATTGCACCAATTTGCAGTCCAACCAGCAATGTGTGAGTGTACATTTTCCCCACATCTTTGCCAGAATTTATTGTTACTTGTATTTTTGAAAATTACAATTATGGCTGGAGTGAAATGGAATCTAAATGTAGCTTTAATTTGCATTTCTTGAACATTTTTTCATATATTTGTTGACCAATCATAAGAAATCAGAAGTAATTCTGATTGTCATGCTTCTAAATGGAAACTGACATTTTTTCTTTTTTTAAATTTATTTTTATTTGTTCTTTTTAGATGTATAAGACAGTAGAGTGTATTTGGACATATTACACATACATGGAGTATAACTTCTTGTAATTACAATCCCATTCTTATGGTTGTACATGAATTGGAATTTCACTGGTTGTGTATTCATATATCAACATATGAAAATTATATTGGATTCATTCTACTGTCTCCTATTCCCATCTCCTATCCCTTTCCTCCATTCCCCTTTGTCTAATCTAATAAACTCTATTTTTCCCTTCACCAACCTTAATATGTGTTGCTGCAGAGATACAGTGACAATATTATGTTATTGGCATAAAAACAGACATGTAGACCAATGGTACTGAATATAAGACACAGAGACAAACCCACATAAATACAGTTAGCTCATACTAGACAAAGGCACCATAAACATGCATTTGAGGAAAGATAGCCTCTTTAACAAATGCTTCTGGGAATACTGGAAATCCCTATGTAGCAGAATGAAGTTGAACCCCTATCTCTCATCCTACACAAAACTCAACTCAAATTGGATCAAGGACCTAGGCATTAGACCAGAGGCTGAATGTACTAGAAGAAAAATAGGCCCATCTCTCCATCAATTCAGCTTAGGAACTGATTTCTTCAATATGAATTTGTTCTCTTGAGGGTTTTAAAATTCTAATCTTGTTCTGTCTGTTAGGCATCATGGAGAGATGCATCATGGAGATGAACCTGGAGAGATTCTTTTGGATGTTGTCCATTTGAAGTTCTGAATACTTCTGTAATAGATGTTCACCTGATTCTTAAGGTTCGAATTTTTTCTGTACTTATTTACCTGAAGAGGTTATCCTTGAATTAACCTGCATCTATTAACCCTCCTCAATTCCAATGATTTTTAAATGTGTTCTCTTAACTTTGTCCCTGAGCTCTTATATAGTCTAGTCATGGTTACTTATTTTCTCACCTTTAATAATGTCTGAATGTTCAAGGCCAGCCACTTTGTCTTCCAGCTCTCTGATTCTGTCACCAGCTTGGTCTACTCTATCAGAGACTTTTAGCTGAACATTTTATTTGAATTATTATGTCTGTCCTTTCCCAGATTCCTGTTTGGTAGTTTTTCAATATCTCCATTCTCACATTGAATTTCTCAGTCATATGCTGTACTGACATCTTTAATTCCTTTAGTTATTTTTCTGTGTTCTCTTATAGTTCACTGATCATTTTTATAATCATTCTTTTGAACTATTTATCTGTTTTTTATACACTTCAATATCTTTGTGGGTTAGTTGCTGGTGAATTATGAACTCTAAATTTTGTCATGTTGACTTGTTTTTTTTTTTTTTTCATATTTCTCCTATTCCTGTTTTGGAATTGGGTTTTATGCATGTATTTGAATGGATTTCTGTTTCATTATTATTTGTGGTCCATTTGAAGTCACAGGCTTCTCTTTCCAAAGTGTTCTATAATGATTTAGACTGAGACATGCTCATAGATGTGGTACCCATAGTATTTGCATTAATTGTTTCTTTTTTTTTGAAATTTTAATTACTTTTTATTGAAAACTGCACTGAACGCTAAATGTCCACCTTTTACAATAAACAAGTACAGTAACGGTAACTCACACTAAAACAAAACATACTTCTGATAGCCATTTTTCCTTTTGGGACAGGTTAAAGTTTTTCTTTTGTCACAAAAACAGGAATGTACCTATACAAAGGCTCAAAATAGGCCATCTTTTTAAACAAAAAGGCAATGATTCACAAAAGACTATGAATAGAACATGTAACTAGTTGATACAAATCTAATAGGATTTGTTAAAATCAGTCACATCTAATAACACATCTGAAGTGTTCTTGTATAAAATATCACGTGAAGAAAAGAATTTATCAATGTCTAAAAAAGTGGGTTTGTTCATAGACAATCTGACAAGTTACCATAAAAAGTGTTTCCTGAGACATAAGGAAATGCAACATTATTCTTGAACCCTTAGCAGTTCAAGACTTTCCACTCAATAAAATAGCTGAGGATCTGAAACTGAGAAAATATATTTGAGTACAAACAGCTTGTGAAACTTAATACTTTTTTCTTTTTTTTTTCTTTTTTGCATCATCAGAGGGTACAACTTAACTTACAACCAGCTTGCCTGCTCGGTATGCAGTTCAGCTGTGAGGGAGACACTTCTGTACAGGAGCCTGTACTGTCTTCAATCCTATGCGTGCAGGTGTCTAACACAGGCAAACAGTTTTTTCCCCATTTTTGTAGCAATTTTGTCTTCCTATTAGCAAAAAGAGGTAACAAGCCCCTGTAGACCAAAGGGACTAGAGTCATAAGATGGGGATTTCCTCTTAATATTTTTTTTTATTTTGATGTTTGGAACTCTTGATGCAACATTCTAGAGCAAGGTGCTCAGGACCTGCTGTGCCCAAGGAACTGATAAAGGAAAAAGCTCTATTTATTCTTTGTGATTTGATGCACAGATGGAAAACTTAACACACAATAACAGAAGTTGGTCGTTAATAAATCACGTCCTATTCTTTCAGCGCTTCCGGAAGCAGACGACATCTTCAGTTTTCTAGCTCTTGTAGCTTTTAACACTGCAACACCAATGATGCATATGTCCAGGGTCAGTTAAAAAGACTGTCAAATTCCTTCTCTTAGTTCATCCATTTTCACTGTCTCTTGGTCCCAAGTTTATCTGAATGATTACCTTTCAGCATTCTCTGCTATTGCTCGTTGGGGTGCTCTCGATTGTCCCCATGTTTTGTAGGCTGGTTGGGAGAGGGAGCTTGGGAAGGGTGTGCCACCGTGGGGAGGTTGTGAGTCACTGGGATGCCTCCAGGGATGATCCCTTCCATGGCTGCAGGAAGTCCTCCCGGAGCCACGCCTACTATGCCTGGCGGATACCTGTATGTGGCACCATTGAGCTCAGGATGAATTGCTTGCTGGTCTATTACTGACCAAGGAGCTGATGTGACAAAGAATTCCTTGTTGACACAGTTTCTTAAGCTTTCTGGGATGCGACCTGTGATTGCTCGGCGGATCTCTGTGGCAGCTGCCTCTCTCATCTCAAGTGATGCTTGTTCACTATACCAGGCCGTGTGGGGGGTACAGATGAGATTTGGTGCATCTTTCAAAGGACCCTGAGCAAAGCTAAAGGGCTCCGATTCATGCACATCAAGGGCTGCCCCTCGTATCCTGCCCTCCTTAAGGGCCTGCGCCAAGGCCTTCTCGTCCACCAGGCCACCGCGGGCTGCATTAACAAGGAATGCCCCTTGCCTCATCTGCTTTATAGTAAAGTCATTGATGAGGTGGTGGTTATGTTCATTGAGATTGCAGTGCAAGGAGACACAGTCGCTCTGATACAGCAAGTCCTGTAGGGTGTAGACCCTCTGCACGCCCAGGGACCGCTCGATCCCATCCTGCAAGTAGGGGTCATAAAATATGACGCTGAATCCAAAGGCCTTGGCTCGAACAGCAACCGCCTGCCCCGTGCGACCGAAGCCGATGAGGCCCAGTGTCTCCCCACGGATTCGTGCCGCTCCTGAGGCCACCTCGCGGATCTGTTCCACACTCTGTACCCGCGTGCCTTCCCGCAGGGCCTGGTACAGCCATGTATTGCGGCGGTATAGGTTGAGGATGTGGCAGATGGTGCAATCGGCCGTCTCTTCCACAGCTGCAGATGGGATGTTGCACACAGCGATCCCAAGCTCGCCGGCAGCCTTGATGTCCACGTTGTCATAGCCACTGCCGATCCGCACGATCACCCGCAGGGCCTTGAACTTCTCCAGGTCTTCCCTGGTGAGGGTGATAGTGTGGTACATCATGGCGCCCACGGCCTCATTTAACACCTTCTCCTGGATCTCCTGAGTGGACTGTGCATCGCAGAAGGCCACAGTGGCCAGGTCCTTCAGGATGGGCATCTCCACGGTGCAGTCTCTGCCGTCCAGCAGTGCCACCAAGGGGCGGGGGTGCAGGGGGCCGTTCATGATCTGGGGGCGGATACCAATATAAATCTGTCTGCAAATTCTACAGTTCACGCGACAGGCTGTCCGTCTTCTTAAGGGGATACAGCTTCATTGGCTCAAAACCATTTAAGGTGGTGGAACCCTCGTCCAGGGCCGCCGGCGTCCACCGCGAAGGGCGCCCACCCGGGAGGCGGCGGCGGCGGCGGCGCTCCCGCCCCTCCCACCCCACCCGGCGGCGGTGGCGGTGGCGGTGGCTGTGCTGCCCCCCCTCAGCGCGGCATGGCTCCCGGCTCCGTCCCTCGCTCCTCGGGCCGCCTCCGGCTCCTCTAGGCCGCTCCCGAGCCACCTTAAAAATCTAATTGTTTCTTTCTTTGCTGTATCTTTGGTTTTCCAAGGGTGGGACCTGAGGGCTTATCTCTGGCTATTCTTACTTGTGGCCTGATTTTGTTTGGGCTTTTTCCCTTTTGTCACTTATATTAACATATAGCTGATGTTTGAGTGTCATTAGTTTGTATGTGGAGCAAGGTCCAATATCTTTTTCTTGAATTTAGTTCAGCAGTAGAGTCTCTAAACTGTGAACTGTAGTGTCCCTATATTTATACAGCATCTCAAGGAAAGGGGGATCGAACAATAGCAACAACCAAAGCAAATAATATACAACACTAAATAAATGCCCAGTGCATACATCACATCTACAACATGTGATTCCAAGCTCAAGGGAAAGCAAGTTGCACACCCCTCTATATTTCTGTTTTGAATCATATTATTCTGTCTTGAATCATCTTCTAGGTACACCATAAGCCACATAGTAGGTCCTTACTAGGCTAGTATGGCAATGTTTACTATGATCTCCTAGACTCCCACAACAGATCTCCATTGCTAATTGAGAAATACAAAGTATATTTCAAACATAAGTTTATTTTGCAGCCTCTAGATCAGCTAAGTTCAGTCAACTTTTCTTATTTACATTCCATTCCAAATTTGAGCACTGTGTTTCTCACTCTATGCCATCCTTCACCTCTGTGGTTAACCAGTGCTGCTGCCACTACCACCATGGGCTTTACACTGTTATACTTTTTCCTGTTTTTTTTTTACTTTTTATTTCCATGAACCCAATTTTAGTATCTAAGAGACACTGATTGATATCTGATTTCAGTGAATTCCCTCTTAAAACCACTGCACTGAGAAGCAGTATTCCTACTGATTGAATCCCAGGACATAGAGCAACTGGAAATGCAGCCTTCCTCTAATCTGCTATCTTGAATATCCACTGATTATTTCTTGATGTGTGAAGAGTTTGAATATGGAATGGTTATTTGCTTGCAGAAGTATTAACACTATTACTTAGGTTTGATTTTGCTCAGTGTATTACTGCATTTGGGTTGTAATCAGAGATATGGATATCTCTTTTATGGCCATTTCTTGATTATTAATACTAGTGCAGGGAAGTAGTGGCTTACAATCAGAAAAATAATTTCCATATACTTTTGCGGTGTAATTTTTTAATTTCCATTTAATTGTAGGTACATGATGTTTAAGCAATATTTGAAAATATTTAAATCAAACATCTCTATTTTACACTATATTGGCATCCCTTTGCTAGTTCAAATATGATTAGTAGCAGAGAAATCCTTTAATTTGGTTCCTGTCATCAAATAAAATAACTCATCAGGCAGAATGAATATTTGTGCTTCTATAAGAAAATACGTGAAACAATTTAATTCATACAAGATAGAAATTTATTTGTCCGGTTTAGAGGCTTCAAAGTTCAAGATCAAAGTACCATTAGGTTTTGTGTGTGGGAAAGGTCTCTTTCTCATAGATAGTGCCATCTACATGTCCTCACATGGCAACAAGGGCAATAAGAATTAAAGAGCAAAAATGGTGTAAACCAATTATTTCCAGGCTTTTTGAAAGGCACTAATCCATTCATGATTACAGGACCTTCATAATGTCATCAGTTCCCTAAAGACCATATGTTTTAATTCCACTACAAGGGAAATTAAGTTTCAACATGAATTTTTTAATTTTTAAAATTATTAAAATATCTTCTAATACATGACAGTTGAATGCATTTTGACACATTGTACACAAATGGAGCATAAATTCTCATTCCTCTGGCTGTACATGATGCTGAGTCACACCAGTAGTGTAATCATACATGTATATAGGATAATAATGTCTGCCTCATTCTAACGTCCTTCCAATTCCAACCCCCCTCATCCCTGTCTACATAATCAAAATTTCCTTCATTTTTCCCTAAGCCCCCACTCACTGTGGATCAGCATCCACTTATCAGAGAAAACATTTGGTCTTTGGTTTTTTGAAATTGGCTTACTTTGCTTACAAGATACTCTCCAACTGTACCCATTTACCTGCAAATGCCATAATTTCATTCTTTTTTAAGGCTTAGTACTATTCCATTGTGTAAATCTACCACATTTTCTTTATCCATTCATCTATTGAAGGGCATCTAGGTTGGTTCCATAGTTTAGCTGCTGTAAATTTTAAGTTATTTGAGTATAAACTGTGAAGTGAAATAGCTGGGTTAAATGGTTGTTCCATTTAAAGTTTTCTGAGGAATCTCCATACTCTCTTCCATAGTGGTTGCACCAATTTGCACTCCCACCAACAATGTATGAGTGTACCTTTTCCCACAGCCTCCCCAACATTTATTATTGCTTGTATTCTTGACAATTACCATTTTGATTGGAGTGAGATGAAATCCTAGTTTTGAATTGCATTTCTCTAATTGCTAGAGATGATGAACATTTTTCATATGTTGTTGATCAATTATATTTCTTCTTCTGTGAAGTATCTGTTCAGTTCCTTAGCCCATTTATTGATTGGGTTATTTTTCTTTTTTTTTTTTTTTGGTGTTAAGAGTTTTGAGTTCTTTATATATCCTGGAAATTAGTACTCTAGCTGATGTGCATGTGGTAAAAATTTTTTCCCATTCTGTAGGCTCTCTCTTCAAGTTATTGATTGTTTCCTTTGCTGAGAAGAAGCTTTTTAGTTTGAGTCCATCCCATTTATCTATTCTTAATTTTATTTCTTGCACTTTAGGAGTCTTGTTAAGGAAGACAGATCCAGGGGCTGGGATTGTGACTCAGTGGTAGAGCGCTTGCCTAGCACAGGTGGGACCCGGGTTCAATCCTCAGCACCACATAAAAATAAAAGGCATTGTGTTGTGTCCATCTACACCTAAAAAATAAATATTTAAAAAAGAAAAAAAAAAGAAGAAGACAGGTCCTAAGCCATCAAGAAGAAAATTTGTGCCTACTTTTTCTTCTATTAGGCACAGGGTCTCTGTTCTAGTGCCTAAGTCTTTGATCTACTTTGAGTTGAATTTTATGCAGGGCAAGAGATATAGGTTTAATTTCATTTTGCTACATATGGATTTCCAGTTTTCCCAGCAGCATTTTCAACATAAATTTTGTGGGGACACATTCAAATCAGAGCACCAACTTTAGAAAATATAGTCAAATAGGAAAGTCAAGGCATTTAAACAAAGATCTATAACTTGACAATGTATATAGATTTACAACAAAAATGCATAAGATATGATTTTGATTTTGGTTAGCATTGAAGGTATCAGAGAAAGACATTTAAATAGAATTCTGTAATATTATAAATAGTGAATGATATGAAAGAAAGAGCATTCCAGAATGGGGAATATTTGAGGTATGTTGGAGATGTGATTGTATAATCACAAAAGTGTTGATATATAACTTTGAAAGGATCAATAAGAAACTGCTCATTAATGATGACAACTAGAACAGGGTAAAATTTTAGTTAAGTCTGGGAATGAGAGTTAAATATTCAAATATTCTTTTACATGTTGTCAAATATTCTTTTGTATGTTGTCAGGTATAAATATATTTCCAGGTGCCTTAATATTTTATTTCTATCTTTTATGTGAGATTTGACATTCAAGAGAGATGTAATTTGAAATCAGAAAATAAAGACCTGAGGAGGGTTGCTGGCATGCACATTGGATTAAATACAAAATAGCAATCTAGACAAATCAGTGGGAACACTTTCATTACTCCTTAAAAAGAAAAGTCATTGTTTTGCAGGTATTTAATTTGAATGCAAAGTTTAATTTAGCAGCACTGAGTTCTTAAAATCCTAGCTAAATTAATAGATTTATTAATTTATATCAAGTAATAATGTGAAACCTGCTTCTCTAAATGAATTGCTGGTCTGAAAAAACTCTTGCCGCTGATGCTCAAGTGGCCAATTTTCTTCCAAGATAAATATTTGACTTATTTGGCTTTTAGCCTTCAGTTCTGAATCTAAGCACACTCCAATATAGAACATGCTGAATGACCAGAGTTTGAGGGAGTATTTGGCTATGTTTTCAGCTCATGTAGAAGTATACCCCTGGCTGTGTTTACATAAAGACTTTGGATCAAAGTAGGACCATGAATTTCAATGCCACATAATACAATGCCAGATAAATCAAGTTAAAGAAAATATTTTCCAAAAATGTACAAAATAGAAGATAAAATGTTATAAAAATGGTGGAGATAATGTTGACATGTAACTCAGCTCTTAAAACAGTTGCATAAGCTATCGCATTTAATAGTAGCAAGCTGTGTTCTTTTGAAGGAAAAAAATTTCTAACCTAAATTTACTTCACATTTGCTTTTAGAAATCTTTGCATTTTTACCTAAGTTAAATTATGCTTACATTATAAATGATAACTCTAAAATAGATGTAAACTGCAACTTAAAGTTTGAATACATCAAATAAATGAACTTAATTTTCTCACTTGAATTCCCCACCTCTTCAGTCAAGTGACATGATTCCTTCTATACAATATACTTGTAAAGCTAAAGTTAAAGTGAAAAAAAAATTTCTTAGGACTTTGGTATAGCTTAGTGTAATAGTGTTTGCCTAGTATGCACAAGGGTCTAAGTTCAATCCCCAGAACCAACAAAACAAACAACATATTCCTCATAGAGAATACAAATGTGAAGACAAACAATTTTGGAATTATTTATTCCTATGAATGAAATAATCATCAGAGAATATAATATACATGTGTATACATACTAACAGTCCATGGAGTATTTGTACATCAATTTTACTCTTTTAAAATTGTTTTTAATTTGTTAACTTTTATTGAAACATAATTATTCATATTCATGAGACACATAATGATATTCCAAT